AATCATTATAAAGTAAAAATAAAAATTGTGTTTGGCTTCAAAAAGTTAAAATGTGGAATCTCTTAAAACTTATTTTTAATCATTGACTCTATAAAATAATAACATCTTATATTTAAATAGTCTTTTGAAAATGTTACTTTCAAATAGCAATAGCGGAATGTTTTTAGGGTTATTCATTATTTGCATTCAAATTTCGATCCAACCCCGTGCACTTAATTTCTTTATGGCATTGCTGCACGTTTTACTCCAAGGAAAAGGAAATCAAGTGGCTCATAAGTGTTTGGTGTTCGATTCTCAATGCGTGATTTGGGGTGAAGTGATAAAGTCAATTACATGTATAGATATGAAACCCACTTGATTGATCTCATCATTTAATGTCACATTTCATAAAGATGGTCTCCAATGAGTACGTATAACATTACTCTTTATGAAAATATTAACGATTTCTACACCGTCGTATATTTTCAAACAAAGTTGTTCAAAAGTTTGTGACGTAAAAGAAATTTCGATTCTAAATTTATCCTTAACAAAATAAAAGAGGCAGTTTGAAATGCACTGTTGATGCTAGATGTCGTAAAAATGGATCATCAACCATAACGACACCGTAATTCCCAATTATATTTTCTTCTTCTTCTTGCTTTCCCCTTTTATTTCGTACTGCACTCTTTGCAAATCTTTTGTGCGCCATATTTCCTACTTCTTCTCCAAAATGGGTGTCAAACACAAATAAAGGACGATAAAGATATATCACTCCAGTTTGAATCTAGATGGAGATATAACAATTCCGTTAAACTTTGACGGTATTTATAAAAAGAAAAAACTGAAAATAGTGAAAGTAACTTGAAAACATGAATATATATTGTCTGATTTTATCTTGAAGACTACTGGGAATTTGAACGCTTTAAAAGAGTTTAAGGTCAGAAGAGTAATGGGTGTGATGTATTTTGAAGTTAAACTAAGAAAATTCTGGAAAATAATCGGCTGTATTCGATGATTGTTCTTATTCTGTTGCATATAATACGATTTCACCGATATGAGGGCTTTATTGGATCAGGTTGGAGAAGGCAACGGATTGCCAGGGTTCCGGTAAGGTAAGAGACGAGCGGTAGACAACGTTGCAAAAGCATTAGAAATCTATGAATAAACCTCATGTTGATGTTGAAGATTGAGAGTATTGAGTTTCAATTTTTGGTTTTGGTTTTTTTTAGCTTTTAGGAATTTGGTTTCCACATTGCATTTCAAGTGTTTGATTAAGCTGTAATTTCAAGTGTTTGATTGAAATAAAGCTAGAATTGACAATAAAATAAGATATTACATATATTGTTTCGACATCAGTTTTGGCAATTCTTATCCCTCCCTTCACCATGTTGACAGCTCCGTCCACTTGGACGGAGGCATAAGATGCCTCTATCCAAGTGTGGACGGAGGGCACCATGCCTCCGTCTTGAGGTCCTTGACTAATATAAAAAGTAATTTATCTTAAAATTACTTATGAGTAAATATTTGAAGCTCAGCCAAACATGCAAAGAGCAATATATATGCACATATATTATAACCTTCTCATATATCTTGCCTGTCGATTTCCCTCCCTCCCTCTTTACTGTTTTCTGTCTAGAATTTTCGTTCACTCAAGTATTTTGAAAAGTAATTCTTGGAAAAATACTCATTTCCTTCTTGAATCCTCATTTCACCCGTTTTTAGAAGCAAAATTTGATTCGGAAACGTGATTTTTTTCAAAAGCAAAACTTTTTCTTTGATTTGGTTGAATTCTACAATAATTCTCTGCATTTTCGTTGAATAATAATTTGACTTTGATTTGCTTAAATTTGGGTGATTTTTCGAGGCTAGATTATTTTGTGGTCGGAAAATTTAGTTTTTGGGTGCATTTGAGCTTCAGATTTGGGATCTAATTTAATTTTGAAGCATTTATCCAATTTTCACTGGTGAGTTCTCAGCTTTTCTTTTTTTTTTTTTTTTTTTTTTTTTTTTTTTTTGGTGTTGTTTTTTTTTTTTTTTTTTCTCAAACTCTCTAATCATGTATTGACATGTGTGTCTTCTGTCATTGTGTCTGTCACTGAGCATGTCGTTGTAGCATAACTCATTGATAAATGGAGAAATTACTCCACCCAAAACACTTTAAGAGTAATAACAGTGAGTCTATATATTTAGAGTAGATTAATGAGTTAATTAAGATTGTGATTATTGTCAAATTTATGAAATGAGGAATTGTTCCTTTTTTAAATAATATGTATTTTTTGAGTATTTTAAATAAATATACCATATCACCCTTTAAAAGTGTTACCAATGCTATTCGAACTGGAATCTAAAGAATTTTAGAAATTGTAAATAGAGCTT